AGAGAGAGAGAGAGAAACATAAAGTGTGGGGTATTATAATTTATAGCAATTAATATATCTACTGAACATTTGTTAAGGCTTGAATGTTCAATTGCTCAATTGTGCATAATTTTAAATATTATTTCTACCATATTGGCCAATAAATTATATTCAACGAGACACAGATCTTTATCAACAAAATATTATAATTAATTATTGTGGCACATTTTAATGCACAGGGCTATAAAAATGGGTTTCACTATTTAGAAAATTAATAAATACAGTATTATAAATTAAAATACTATTCATGCTTAATATTTTTATAATAATTAATGCATAAATTAATTTTAACATTTATTGAACAGCAAAAAACATTTTGCTATTAATCGAGTTAGCTAAATAATAATAATTTCCTTGATTAAGATATCACTACAACTGTAATATTGTATACATAGTTAACACAAATATATAGGAATTGTATGACATTAGGCATATCGGGTGACAATGAATGTTAAGCTATTTGAGACAATGCAGGTCTTGAGAGGAATGGTATTTACAAGTAATGACAGCTCAGGTATCTGTCATTTATATATAAACAAAGGTAACCATAGGAAGGATTATTCAAATAGTTATAATTTATAACTATAATCGTTATTATAAATAGTATAAATCTTTATAAATTAAATGAATGTAGTTTTCTTCTATTAAAAAATAATTAAAATTGTTTATTTATATTTCTAATGTCGAGAAACTTGGTAATAAAATATTAATTATTTATAAATTACAAGTAATTATACAAGAAAAAACTAATCAATTAATTACAATATAAAGTTAATTACATAACTATAACGCTATTAGCTATAAATGATTATAAAAATCTAAAACAAATCACATATAATGTGAAATCTTATAATCTATTAACAGCTCTAACAACAAAACAACATTGTTTTTGGACTACTATTTCTTCTTTCGTCCGAAGAAACCACCGCTTGAAGAGGAAGAAGACTGGGATGACATACCATTGCCCGAGCGGTGCATTGAAACGCTTGAGTGACCATTTGGTGTGGCGATCATATTTGTAAAGCCGTTCCCATCTGGCGATCGCATTGAAAAGCCATACCCATTGAATGGCCAGTTGTGGTGCTCATTGTGGTGGTCATTGTGGTGGTCGTCGTGGTGTTGATGATCACCAAACATGCTGTGAAAAGGCATCATAGGTCTCATGGGCTCCATCGACATGGGTTTCATGGGTCTCATTTCCATTGGTTTCATTGGTTCAAACAGGCTTTTAAACGGCTTCATCGGCTTAAACCACTCAAATGCCTGACCCGAGTGCGTCAATAGTGTGACCACGATTATAATAAACGCGATTATGTCCCTATGGGACAGGTTTCCGATCATGTTCATTATGTATGAATGTATAGCCAGTTGTTTGGTATTATGAATGTAAGTCTAACTGTTTAATGATGTTTATAATGTCTGTCACTCGTGTTATATAATAAACGTGTTAAATGGTATGCAACTAAAAAGCAAATAAAAATAAATTGTTTTGATAACAATTAAGCGTTTCATGAGTTGTTGTTGTAATGAATCATAAAAAGATTTTTGTAATTATGTTTATTGGGAAATTTTTATTCAAAAATATATACAACAATACAGCGTTGTATTTATTAATAAATTAATTAAAATAAGTTTATATTAAATAATGATCAACAAACCAAACTAATCCAACTTACTATTGGGTCTTCGCTAGTGGTGAAGTTTCGCAATACCACAAATCTATATAATTATAATATTTTAATTATATTATTTATTAATTAAACACCATTTTATGAGTTATTTATGAAAATTAATTAAATTAATATTTAAAAAACTGAAATCACTAGAAATTACTAAAATTAAAATTGTCTCGAGTTTTCGTATTACGTATAGTGAAATGAATACCCAGATGGAAACTATCAAATATTCTAGTATTACTAATGGTAGTAGTAGTATAACTAATGGTATTGGTATGAATCAAATGTTTTCCACCATGTTTTATATACCCTTTAAACGTGATTTTTTTCTCTGGAAAATTTATGACACATTTTAAATGTAATGTTTAATTGTTAATTAATTCAATTATTCTTTTTTATTGATAACAATTACTGGGAATTAATGAAATATTTGTCTCTATTAGACTACAGATGAATGAGCGGGGAGGGAAAGGGAGGACAATGGGGCACTCAATTTATGTAATCATAAAATTAAACTAAATTCCTATTTTTGAACTACAAATTAACGCTAAATTAAACTCTCAATTGAGTAAAACACATAAAACATGATTTCATAACCTATTGCCAGTATTACTAGATATTACTGGTCATGTTTTACGAAATTATTTTTTGTAGTAATTAATGTTACATATAAGCATTTTAGCAATAACTAGTTATGTAATCTCCATTAATAGAAAATTATAAGTAATTAATACTTATATAATGATAACCGCCATGATTTAGTTTAAAATCAATATGGTTATTTTTTAATAAAACATAATTAACAAGTTTTTATTATATATTGTATTAAATGAAAGACATATATGAACAAAAAAATAACACAATAAAAATTTAATAATTTTATATTTTATTTAAAAACTGCATTTTCTATCAAAAGTTACAACAAAATAAATAAATTGAAAAAAGTTGATAATAAAAAGATTTATAAGTAATGATCTTTTTATTGCTTGGCGGCGGTAGCGGCGGCCTGTCCTCCGGGGCTGACTCGAGAGGTTCGCACACCCTTTCCGTCGGCCTTTGACAAGGCGTTTGAGGACGAGTTGGCAAAGGCTCGGGCGGCGGCGTTGGCGAGACCCTTGTTGTCGGCTTTAGCGCCGGACTTGGAGATGGATCCGGAGCCGGCGTCTGAGCTCGAGTTGGCCTGACTGTCGTTATCGGCGTCGGCAGTGGAGTCGGCCTGCGATTTGACCTCTTCGGCGTTGTCACCGCCGCCGCCCTGGCTCTGCGATTGCGGCGCCGGAGCCGAGTAGACTACGACCACCAATAGGATAGTTAACGCCAGTGTTAATAACAGTTTCATTATTGCTTTTAGATTTTGTGGTAAGTTTTTTTTACAACAAACTTTCTTCGAGCACTTATCGAGTTTGACTAACACTAGCGGTTTGACTGCCTTTCGATTTAAGTATAATTTTAGTTAATATTTTATCATTGATTTTAATGACGAATGCCGTAACGATTGACCATATGTTTTACTTACCAATGATTGGACAGTTGGCTGATATTACGCTCAACATATTGATGTTGTAATAAATTTAAATTAAAAATACATTTAACTTTTTACTTTAGTTGTAATTTAATATAAAATTAACTAATATTTTTTTGCTTAACTATTAAATTGTAATTAAATTTTAGTTTTGTAACAGATTTTATCATTTTTTAATTCTGTGAACAGCCATTAAATTATGAAAAATTAATTTTTAATACTGATTGAGAATTTGTTAATTCAATTTTAACCATAAAGTTTAATTACAAACAATTAAAACAATTATATAATTAACAAATTGTTTATTACAAATTGTAAATGAATTATGAAATAAAGAAAAAAACAAAACTTAAATGTATCTAAAATTTTATTGTAATTTATCAAATCAACTATTAAATTGTGAGGCAAATATGTTTTGTCAGCAACAACATAAATATATTTTTTAATTATTATTTCTAACATTCAGATTATGACCATTATTAAAAGCCTATATAGGTAGCGCTAAACCATTCTAGATTAACAAATAAAAATATATAAATAATTTTTGAAAGAAAATGTAATTTAAAATTTGAAAATCAGAAATTTATTTTAAAAGTATTACAAAAACAACATTTATACAATGTTTGGGCAAAACATATTCTACTCAATCTACTCGACGTCGTCGACTTCCTTCACGTCGTCCACTTCCGGCTCGTCTTCAATCACTTGCTTCACTGACAATGACTTTTTGGGCTTTTTGGTCGTCGTCTTTGCTTTTTTAGCCAACCTTTCTTTGGTTTTAGACTACAATACAACACAATATATTCATATAAATCATAATTACAATAACAGGCATATTGTGGCATAAAAACCTTGGTCACTCCGTGAGCCAACGTGGCAACGGTGTCCATCGCGGCCACATTTATGGACCGTCCGTTAATGTCGTCCGACAAAATGGACTGTGACCCGCTAGTGCTTTGGTGGATTGTGGTCGTTAGCACATTTGGATCCAGTGGGAGTTTTTTGGTCACACCTCTCCTGCCGGTCAGACCGTCCAAACCTCTACCGCCGGTCAGACTGTCCAATAGACCGCCGCACCGGACGGTGTAGACCACAGCCATCATTAGTACCAGCGCTTTGATTAGCATTGTTTTTGCTTAATTAGTACTCAAAATAGTGATGGTTGTGGTTCGCATTGAATAAGTTTTGTTACAGATGTTTTCTCGCTGTGTTTTATAACTTATTAAATGCTATCATTTTGTTGTTTATGTCATTTCCCGTTTTATTCATGTAAAGCCATTTTGCATTTTATAATTTTTTTAATTTATCTTTTTTTTAATACTAAATTTTATGTAATTTTTTTTGTTTCAATATTATTATTATAACAAAATCAATTATTATTTATTTATTTGAAATCACGTATTTTAACTTCATGCAAAATGTCAGTTATAAATTATAATATTTAATTTTCATATATTATTACTATTAATCAAGTGTTTTTGTAAAGAACATTATCTCTTTAAAATACATAGCACTATAAATAAACTGATTTGATCAGATAACTTTAATTATATTCATCTCTCTCCCTTTCTCTCTCTCTCTCTCCCTTTCTCTCTCTCTCTCCCTTTCTCTCTCTCTCTCTCTCTCTC